AGGTGTGGTGGGACAGGTGGGGTTTGGGGCTTTGGGAGAGACCTGACCCTGGAGGAGAACCAGGTACACGTAGGGTGGAGGAGAACCAGAGCCAGGGGAGGGACCTGACCCTGGAGGAGAACCAGGTACGTGTGGGATGGAGGAGAACCAGAGATACAGGAGGGACCTGAGCCTGGAGGAGAACCAGGTACGTGTGGGATGGAGGAGAACCAGGTGTGGTGGGACAGTTGGGGATTTGGGATGGATAGAGGAGAACCAGAGCCAGGAGAGAGACCTGACCCTGGAGGAGAACAAGGTACGTGTAGGGTGGAGGAGAACCAGGTGTGGTGGGACTGGTGAGGTTTGAGGGCTTGGGATGGACAGAGGAAAGATTTCACCTTGGAGGAGAACCAGGTGTGGTGGGACAGGTGGGGTTTGGGGGCTTGGGAGGGATGGAGGAGAACCAGAGTCAGGAGAGGGACATGACCGTGGAGGAGAACCAGGTACGTGTAGGGTGGAGGAGAACCAGGTGTGGTGGGACAGGTGGGGTTTGGGGCTTTGGGTGGGATGGAGGAGAGCCAGAACCACAGGAGGGACCTGATCATGGAGGAGAAGCAGGTACGTGTGGGATGGAGGAGAACCAGAGATACAGGAGGGATCTGACCCTGGAAGAGAACCAGGTGTGGTGATGGGACAGGTGGGGTTTGGAGACCTGGGGAGGGATGGAGGAAAGATCTCACCTTGGAGGAGAACCAGGTGTGGTGGGACAGGTGGGGTTTGGGGGCTTGGGGGGAATGGAGGAGAGATCTCACCTTGGAGAACAACCAGGTATGGGTGGGATTTGGGGATTTGGGATGGATGGAGGAGAACCAGGTGTGGTGGGACAGGTGGGATTTGGGGTTTGGGGCTTTGGGATGGAGGAGAGCCAGAGCCGTGTGAGTGATCTCACCTTGGAGGAGAACCAGGTGTGCTGGGACAGGTGGGGTTTGGGGACCTGGGGAGGGATGGAGGAGAACCAGAGATACAGGAGGAACCTGAGCCTGGAGGAGAACCAGGTGGGGTTTGTGGTTTGGGAGGGATGGAGGAGAGATCTCACCTTGGAGGAGAACCAGGTTCTCTGACCCCCAGGTGTCCCCCCA